AACACCCACACCCCAAAAAAACTAAATCTGTGACATCATCGACTCTGACTCGACTGTCGATGACAAAAAAAAATGTTCGTTGAGCAAACGCCAGTCGGGACGCAACTCGACTTGCTGGATATATGACGTTTTGACATTGCACTTGCTTGAAACTTAAGGTAAAGATTTGAGACTAACAATTGACATGCACATTCAGTATGTGACTTACTCCAACCTCTGCTTCTGTTCTTTCAATTAATACATTTTAAAACTTTTTGGGGGGGTTATTGTTTATTGAATATATAAACATGTAAAGTCATAAATTGACAGAATGTAACGGTAAGTAAAATTGTAAAAGAGGAAAAGAAAACTGAAATGTATCCCAAATACTTTTAGAGGTCTTATGTCAAGTTCCTCCACTCCAGTCTTACACATGCATGCCTTTGAAGGACCTTGAGTTCAGTCATGGTGGAACCAAAAAAGTACCCTTCCAGAAAAAGAATTCCATGAGTGTCGGTGGTTTAACGCCACGGTGGCATCCCTCGCCACCGTTTACAAGGCGAGAAGAAAGTGAGCTCCCAGACAATCACATCCCTCCCTCATGGTGAGTGAATAAATTACAAGCGATCGCGCTTTGTAATGAATGCAGCGGTGCATATTGTGCAAATGCGCTGCTTTTTAATGATTTAATTAAAGAACCTCGCTCAAACTGGAGCGGAAAATTTCAACACGGAGCCGAGAGAGAAAGAGAGAGACACACAATTCTGTGTTAATTTCTGCAGCCGTTTGGCAGATGTGCTTCACTTTTTTTTTTCCTCTCCCCATTTCCTGCTTTTCCCACTCGACAATTGGCATGTTTACAACCATCGGGATGCATGATGTCCTTCTAATTCTCCCACATCCACTTTCGAGCAGATGCCATCTGTGTCTTTAGGCAGCTGAGCTTGTGTGTAATCATTAGACAGATTGCCTAAATCCAATTTAAATATGCAAAGTTGTGTTCCAAACAGCAATATTGAAATTAAACACCATTTTCGGTCCATCATACTACTTTTTTAAAACAATATTGCTGGAATCAAAATGTTGTGTGCGTGTGTGTGTGTGTGTGTGTGTGTGTGCGCGTCCGCAAGGTACATGCTACCTATGACAGCGATTGCTTAATTTAAAACTACTAGCAAGGTCTGGATGGACTCTCACTTCACTAATCCCGCCCCTTCAAGTCTCTGACCAATACCACACCCCTCACCGGCATCCACGATTGCTTTTCTCAAACATTCATAATGGCAAGGTGCATGCTACCTATGACAGCGGTTGCTTAATTTAAAACTACTAGCAAGGTTTGGATGGACTCTCACTTCACTAATCCCGCCCCTTCAAGTCTCTGACCAAAACCACACCCCTCACCGGCATCCACGATTGCTCTTCTCAAACATTTATAATGGCACGTGATCATGAAAGCATGTAGCTGACTTAAAAACATGTTCAATAGTTATAGAGAATGCGTATCCGCAGCTAGCAATGATCCAATCAATCTTATCTGTAAAACTAATAATCACAACGAAATAGTCTCAGAATCGCCCTCCCGGCAAGGAAGAACTTCAAAAAAACGCCATACCACCTTTGCGGCTTTCCATAATCAAGGTGCCACTATAATCAGCTGTTGTAAACCCCCAAACTCTTTTGTTCACAACGCAGCAGCAGAAAGGTCATCCGGACAAGGCTCGAATCTAATTATGTCCAATAATCAGTGCGCTAAATGTTGCGCTGCAAGGTCGCAACTTGACTGTCTAACACTCGGATGCCTCTTACTTCTCTCCAGAGCCAAGCACGGTATAACGGAATTTTTTTCGCGCCTCAGGGGGGGAAGGAAAAATGAAGTATTCAAGCAAATTCTGTTCATAAATTGTCACTCAAACTAGTCGTAGAAATCTCCAGAGCCCAGCACGGTGTAACGGAATTTTTTTCGCGCCTCAGAGGGGAAGGAAAAACGAAGAGAAATTTGTGTGGGTGAAAAAAGCGATATAGGTGAGTGATCTGTTTGCAGAAACATTGACCATGAGAGACAAATTAATCCCCCCAACACAAACACACACACACACAATTCAAGCAAATACTGTTCATAAATTGTCACTCAAACTAGTCGTAGAAATCCCTTCAAACAGAACAACAGAATCGGTTGAATTGTCTGCTATCGTTTCAATCTAAACAATCAATTCGGGACAAAGCAGATACGAATCTATCAGATAGTGAAGGATATTTCCGGTGGCCAAAGACAGAAAGCACAGTACTGTAATCCCATGGAACATTTTCATGCTTGCTAATCACGCTTGCCATGGAAATTCGCCCTGATTCGAGTGCAGCGTTTTGACATACAGTCATGTTTTAAAGATCACCGCTACTTTGGTTTCGTGATCTGTTTCGCAGCAATCATTCTGACGTTCTACCTGCATGCCGTTTATACAGAAGCGCAAGATGGAAAAAAAGGTGGGAGATGGAGGCTTCTACAGGCAGTGTCAAGGGGGTTTCGGAACTACCTCTGAAGACAGAAAATTACCGTGTCGAAATTGTCCACCTGTGCTATTTATACAGAACAGTCACGTCGTAACAAGGTGTGAAAATGTGGCTTTTACACGCAAGTGAAAAAGGGGCTTCTCGTCTCACAGAAATGTTGGTGAAATAAATTGCTGTGTCAATGTTGTAACCCTTATTTGTATCAGAACACAGAAAAGAGAAATGAAAACTGAAGAACATGGAAAAGTGGCAAAAAAGTGCATTTGCTTAAAAGACGGGGCAAAAGGGTATTTCCAAATTTGGAGGTAGGATCACATACCAAGTCCAAAGTGCAACTTATATTTGATACAACAGATATTTGAATAGGGCGGCCCGGTGGGCCAGTGGTTAGCGCGTCGACCTCACAGTGCAGAGGTCGTGGGTTCGATCCCGGCTCCGGCCTTCCTGTGTGGAGTTTTCATGTTCTACCCGGGTCTGTGTGGGTTTTCTTTGGGTACTCCGGTTTACTCCCACATTCCAAAAAAACATGCATGGCAGGCTGAAGGCAAAAGGGTATTTCCAAATTTGGAGGTAGTATACCAAGTCCAAAGTGCAAAGTGAAACTTATATTTGATACAACAGATATTTGAATAGGGCGGCCCGGTGGGCCAGTGGTTAGCGCGTCGACCTCACAGTGCAGAGGTCGTGGATTCGATCCCGGCTCCGGCCTTCCTGTGTGGAGTTTGCATGTTCTACCCAGGTCTGTGTGGGTTTTCTTCGGGTACTCCGGTTTACTCCCACATTTTTGGATTGGAAACATGCATGGCAGGCTGATTGAATACTCGAAATTTATTTGAACACTGTGGCGCAACACTTGTCGCCAGATAATGTCAAGGAGTTGACTTTGGAAAATGGATGTGCACTTGTTTGAATTCATACCAATGTGTCAATTAAGAAGAGGGGCGCAAACATTAAATAAAGCTCACAATAAGATCGCAATTATTTGGGAAAAGAAGCCAAAGACAGTTTATGTTATTGCCAGTCAAAAATAATCACAGCTGCTATTCTCACTTTAAATTTGAAAACAACAACAAAAAACACCCTCAGGCACTTGTACAACTCTGGCTGATATATAATACCTAATTTCATTCTCACATCAGCAGGTCTTTGTTGTTGTTGAAACGGTTGCCTGGCAACCTACCGGGGTCATGATTTTCCGTTTTATGGGGCATTAAAAATAAAAAAGAAGAAATGATTTTATTGAGAGGACTGCACATGCAAGCTCATCTTGGAACTATTAATGGTCCTCGCCGTGAAACACACACGCAGACCTGAGCCAGCAGAGCCACTAGAATGCATTAATGCGAGCTCATCATGAGGCAGCGCTCAATAAGTAAGCCAGCAGCCTCGCGAGCACACTATCGCACACATACCACTAAAGACATTAGTGCTGCTCTAAATCAAACTGGATGCGCAACTACTTGACATAAGAACCTGCATTACAGCCTGCTATGAGCAGCCAGCCATATTGGTATGATAGAAAACCAGGCATTTCACAGCAAGTCTCAGTATACAGTGAACCTCCTTCAATTTGCGTTCCACCACTCATTTTTTGTATGGAACTTCACTAACAACTTTTGGCTTAAAAACACATATACTCGCACCTATCTATTTGGTTCTCTTTTTATAAGGGCTAAAGATTCGCCTAAATTCGTCTAAATCCCCTGAAATATGCCTCTTAACACAGCGGTCTTTTTTTGCAGCTGATAAAGAATATATGCCTCTGAATCTTGTTATAGTCTGTCTACATGTATTGCTTCATTGTTTGTCATCAAATATCCATCATTTAAAGCGCTATACATTGGGCTTCGACCAGTTAACTAGTCGGCCCATTATAGTTTTGTTTTTATTTTGTTTTTTTAATATTCCTAATCAGTTTTGCCAATTAAACCATGACCTCTTCTTTTTTTTTCCAATGACACAGTATATGCTGTTGACTGTTGAATCACTCCAAATGATATCTGTCCACGCGGTCCACTACATCGAGCTAAAAAGTACATTTCGAATGGCCTTTTCAGTCAATGAAACTTTTTTTATATAGCATATTTCTAATAAAAAGCAACACGTGCCTCACGAAACATGTGAAAAGACAAAAACAATCACTCACATCAGCCTCTGAAGCCCAGCCATCCAATGAGCCTATTTTGACAAAGGAATAGAAAGGACAAATATCGTTTTCAAATGTAGGGAGTAAAAGTCGGCAAACAATTAAATGCTAAAGTACTCATACTTTCAAAATCTACAGTAACAGAGTGTCCATGCTTCATTACTTCCAGTTCCCACTGTGGTTCATTCCCAAAGGTTTTACGACTTAGCTTATCGATTCCATTTTCTTCATAAGTCGCTTCCTTAAAATTCGACCGTTAAACTTTACTTATCAAACTACAGTATTTGCAGTTTTTCCAGAATTGTTTTTATGACGGCACCTGACACCCATCTAGCGGCAGCTAATTGTAACGGCAAGCGACGATGACTGTCGTAAAATTGAGCGCGACACTGAACCGCTTGACGATAGAATGTGCCACAATCAACATGGCCGATTCTTTGATATGCGGCGATACACAATACAGGTAGGAAAAGAAAACCGCGCGTACGTATTTGAAAAGTATGAAGATGGGGAAAGAAACGTGAAATTAGGCTAATTTGCAGGGTGAGCTCAGTCCTAAACAGAGATGTGAAACAGTTTGGGAAGAAGTTCATGTTTGACAGCAACGAGGAGACATGCTGGAACTCAGACCAGGCAAGTTGTTCGAGCAACCTGATGATCGGTGTCGGTCCTTATGTGTTTATCGGTCATTACAGGCGTGTTGATGAATGTTTGTATTTTGTCTAGGGTGACTGTCAGTGGTTGATTTTGGATTTCCCCCAGTCGGTTAACGTGTCCGAGCTAAAAGTTCAGTTCCAGGGAGGCTTTTCGGCCAAAACGTGCAGGCTGGAAGGTACAAGTAATAGCGAAATGTTCATAATTTTAGGTTTAATCGTCATTTATTGAAGATGTATATACAGTAGGCACAATATGTACTTTATTTTCTGTTGTTCCTCGAGCATCTTTTCTTTATATACCTTCGTTTCTGCACCCCGCTCCCCCATCTTTCACATGTTTTATTAAATTCATGAGTATGCTTTAATTTGGCAACACAAAAACTGCTTGGAACCCTGACTCCGCTTACTCTTTATACATTTCTTCCATGTTTCCTTACTTCCACCCTCTTGCTGAAACATACTCTTCTGCCATGCTTTTTCCCTCGTCTGACTAACCTCCTTTCGTTTTCCATTTCTGAATTTTCTGCCTTCCTTCATTCCCTCCTTTCTTTCGTTACCTCCTTCTCACCTCACACCTGCTTTCTTCTTCTTCCCTTCCCTCTACCTTCCTCTCTGCATTTTCACCTTTGTTTCTTCAGACCCACTTTTTATTCTTGCATCCTTCCTTACCCTAACTACTTTTGTACCGGTACCTTCCTTCCTTCCTCCCTATTCAGGATCTATCAAAATCTGCTTTTGAATCGAATTTTTGTTCTTGACTTAAATTATTTGCCACAATTTATTTATGGAACTTGTAAAAATTTTATTTTTTTTTACAAATTTTTAACGTAAACAGTGCTAACCTTTGACTCAGCATATATTAAGATTCTCTTTCCTGTTTTTCCCTGCAGGTTGTTCAGGAGATGGAGATTTCACTCTGATTAGTCATTTTTACCCTGAGGACAACAACTCTCTTCAGATATCCTTCATTATTTTTGTCACTGTCAAATTAGAAGTATTTTAGTTTACTTAAAAAAAAATAATTAAAAAACATATATTGGTCGGTGGTAACTTGTTACATCCTGGACTAGTTGCCAGCCTATTACGCACAGTTATTAAGTGCCCAATAATATTGTTACTGAGTGTGTTTGTCATCGCCAGTGATGTTTTTATGAGTGAAACCCTGCCTTAACTGCACACCCACTGCTTTCCCATACAGGAGGCGGCCGCCGTGGACAGAGTAAAAATAACATTTGAGAACAGCACAGACTTTTTTGGGAGAATTATTGTTTATACTTTGGACATCCTGGGGGAGAAATCGTTATGACCCATACTCTGAATATGAGAGAAATACGCAGGACATCAGAGATGCGGGATGTCTTTGCTGCCACCATATGAATGGATTGGAATGCTGCTTTTGGATGGTCACTGCAATGGGCAAATGTGCTGATGATTCACATCTCAGAAGACCACGACAACAGTTCAGAAATGTTCTGTACAATAATACATTCTATGCGCCCCTACAGTATTATGATTAATGTTGTATTTGTAGAATAGGAATTGAACTGAAAAAAAATCCCACCCGTTTTTATCCATCTCAGGGGCCAGCCATTTCGCTACCGCCACTTGATGTATCCATCTCAGTGGCCAGCCATTTCGCTACCGCCACTTGATGTTGACTTGAAAATTACATCACAGATGTAGTGTTGAATCAAAAAATAAATCTACTTGTACTTTGCAAAACAGTGATCAACATTTTCCAGCCAGAGTTAATCAATGGAATTTTAGCCAAATGCCACCTTGTAAAAATGAATGATGATTCTGTCAGCACACTATAAAAAAATACATTTATTAGTTCTTGTTTACGTACGGTGTTGCTGGTCTACAGACAAACTAAACTATCTTCCTGCACAGTTGGCAAATATTTGTTATACTGCCTTGCATAAAAATGAAATAAACAAAACAAAAAAAGCACTTTCTCAGTGTCACTGTAATTTATCGGCATGCTGGCTTGTAGAGTCTGAGAATATGGTCCTCCAACACCTTCTGAACTACAACACAGAAAAAAAAAAAGGAAATACTGTGTGGATAGTGCTAAAAGGCTGTCTCGTTGAAAGATGATAATTACTTTTTTTGTATCCCAGGGCAACAGCCAAGGCCATTGCACTGTAGCCAGAATCAGACTCTGTGGTTATGTCCGCTCCTTTGGCTACGAAAGAACACAATGATCAATTCGTATAGCAATCGGACATCTGTCGTATATGCATACAATGTACAGTAAATGAATGTACCCAAGAGCGCCTCAACACATTTAACATGGTTTCCTCGAACAGCATACAGAAGCGGAGTCCCTCCATTCTGCAATCAAAACATCAGATTTTAGTCTGCAAGCAACTTTTTTTTTTCCTCAGTGTTTCACTGAAATGGATCGTGGTAGCAGATGCTCTCTGACACAAATAGTCTCAATGGGCGAATAAATGCCTTGCATTTTGATCTCTTTAGTGTCACGAGTATGACTTTCATATTTTGTTTACGATTATTTAATCGCTGTTGGGCAAAATCCTCACATCTCAAAAATGACTACCGTACTTTTCAGGGGAAAAAAAAGCCATCTTCCTTGAGTTACCAACCACGTTGTCCAAGTTAGCATCATATCTTTGAGTGCTATGATATATCGTTCTGCACCGACTTCAAAACAACACCACCTCATGTTCTATTGTTAATTTGACGACCTGTGGTTACATCATTGTCCCAAACTCTTTTACAATGGCCTTAGCGCCATGAACGATGCAAAAAAATAACATTTTGAGGTGACATAATAACGCCCGGGCTCCTGCAGGGTGAAGGAGGAGACGGCGTTTTACATTTCTCAGACAATAGTTAGCCGTTATTAGTTTCTGCCCAACAGTGACAATTTGCAGTTCCTACGCAAGTGTACCCAGTCATAGACGTTGACATCAACCCCACGTCTGAGGAGAACCTCGATGATGTCCACATAGCCTCCGGAACTGGCTAGAGTCAGCGCACTTTCACGGTCCCTTGCAACTATTTTGGGGTCTGCGCCCTGGCACATGAATCAAAACAGCGTCAGTGAGTGATTGCCCTGATAAGACTTCTTCCTCCTGCCCTCCAACCTTTTCCAAGAGCAAGTCCACCACTGTTTTCTCTCCAAACGCCGACGCCCACATAAGAGGAGTGAAGCCCCGTTCGTCCTGTTTGCTCAGCAATGATACGTCTGCAAAACAAGCAAACATTACAATCCGGAAGTAACAAATTCAAATTTTGTGACTCCAGTGACTCTTTACAGGGCAGACATTTTTCCAAAAAACACCAACATAATCCTAATTAAACACAACTCCCATGTTTGTACTTTACCAACGCAATTCAAAAGTTGGCAATTTTTGAGGAAAAAAATTGCATTGTCATAATAAAAATGATTTGACATTACTTATTCCTACAGATTATATTGTGGACAACCAAGCTACACTCCATGGAGCGCAGTTTGAGAGCCCCTTTGTCGGATAATATGCGAATCATATGTCAGTTCAGTCACATCCAAATGCCTCACCTTTACTTAGTCGCACCGCCACTTGTAAAACCTCACCCTGGGCAGCCAGCTGATGTATGGACAGAGCTTATAATGGGAAAGATAAATAAATACATTAATACAGTCAAGCACTAACGAAAAGAAAAATAAATTAATCATAAAAACTCACAGTCTAAGTTCGCTGGGCGTGCATTAACTTCATTGCCACGTTGCCTGTTGGTGAGTGTGTCTGAATGGTTGAAGAGACCCTCTTCGTCCACATCGGCAATCTCTAAAGACACAAAGCCGTTCATGTGGAATACATGCGTGAAGTTTTGAAAAATAGCTCATGCTAAAATAAGAAAGGCACATTTGACTAAAACTATGTGGAAAATTAACAATGGACTAAATGTTTTGGGTGATGGGAAAATCTCTCTGAATGTTCTGAACTCCTGTTGACACTGATTGCAGCCAGTGAACCAAGTACTGTATACAGTAATTCTAATTATCTTTGTAACACTGTGAATAAGCGGTTTGTAAATCTGCCACACAGTTCTGAGATTCAAGGTTTAAATGTCGAATCTGGCCTTCCTGGGTGGAGTTTGCATGTTATCATAACCCTTGCTTGCTTGGATTCTTTCTTTCTTTCTAAATTCCAAAAACATGCACGCAATGCAAGTGGTTTTAATGCGACTGTGAATGGTTGTTTGTCTACATGTGCCCTGCGACTGACTGGCAACCACTCCGTAGTGTATCTCTGCCCAAGGTAAATCATTTGAGGGAGGTGAAACATCAGTAACACCACTCATTGCAAACTACAGTACAACCACAATAATAAGCACATTCTTAGATGAAGAATTCTAAAAAATATATCTATTTGTATCAATTGTAAGTACTGTACATTAAGCACTCAAGAACTTGTTTTAAAACGAAGTCTCCATCCTGTGAGACACATGCTTTGTTCCTCTCACCTCTGTGCTCAAACGTTTTTGTACTTGATGTGTGACTATGTTGGTCCTCCTCTCCTCCTGCATCCATTATCACCGCTGCGAGGAAAAGTGAATACGTTAAGTGCATACAAGTGTTAAAAGTAGAAATTCAGTCACGATGTCGTCGTCTTACCACATCAAGTCTTGGGTACCTAATTTGCACCAACTTCCTTGTGGCAAAAGTGAAAGTAGGTTAATTTCACCTGTCGCGACAGTCGACGATGAGCCACGAAATACATTTAATATTATCAAACGAAACATTAATTATCGAAATACGTGAAATCGAATCATGTTAAGCTTGAATAAATCCCGTGTTCGAGAGCTTTAATGTCTTGCGAGGGCAGATTTCTGCGGACTTGTGTTTTGATTTCCTATCCGGAGCCCTTAAGCGTTGCACACCATCATTCAAAACACGGAAGTAGTGCCTAGCGGAGAGCCAATAGTCGCGTTTTCCCGTATTTATTTCTTTATAATGTGGATGTAATTTTCATATTTTATCATGGAAGACCAAGAGATGCAACTCAAAGTCAGACGAGGTAAGTGTCGCATATTTTATTCGTTTTTCGTGGAGGTTAGCGATATTGCTAACTCAAGTTAGCCACTGAGCCAGTGTAATTTGAGTTCAAGTGTTGCGCTACCATTTTAATTTCTGTTATTCGTACGACTTTATTTTATTATTTATTATTGTTTTGTCGACAGTGAGTGACAAGTTCACGGAGAGCATGTACGTCCTGGCTAACGAACCGTCCGTGGCGCTATACAGACTGCAGGAGCACGTTCGGAGATCCCTGCCAGAGCTGGTGCAGCATAAGGTACTGTATAAACCCAGCCCAACACACACTTAACGACAATTAAATGATTCGTAGACACTTAATTAGATACAAACGCGGATCTCATACAAGAGCTGTATTTGTAATTGTAGACTTTTCTGTGATAACTTTATTGGCAATGTCACAGAGGTTTCAAATTTACCGGTAACAGTGTGTGTTTTTGTGGTGTAAACTGCAATTGCAATTTTTTTCCAAGTGTTTTGACCCTCTCTTGAAGATAAATAATGTACTAAAAGAGTCTTGGGGCAGAAAGGCAGAGTAGTGAGTAGTGGAGGTGGGTGGATAAGTCTGATTTGACAGTCAGCTTGTGGACCAGGGTTTCGGTCTAGCGTGGCCACTTGAGAGCGCCTCGTTATCCGCCGTGAGTACGGTAGTAAGAGAAGGCGTCATACCCAGTGGACAGTTGAAGTGAATATATGTTTTCATCTCAAGCATGCAATTATTTGTAGGCATAAGAAAAAAGTTAGATGAAGTAGAATCTGTTTTTCCAGGCTGTAGAAGTGATGACTGAGAGTGAAGCGGGGTGTTGTTTCAATGCATTCATCGGCCATGCCAACAGCTTTCAAATGTGGAGAGAACCTTCATTTTTTTAAGCCTGGTTTTATATACTTGGCATTCAGTTCGGCAGGGTTGTTAACAACTTCTCTGTGGTGTGTAAAATGTAAAAGACATGGCCCGGCATCATGACTAGTGCCACGAACATTGATCCATATTTCTGTCTTGCTTGCCATCATTTCTCCCATAGACAGATATGCAGAGCTGGGAGGAACAAAGTCAAGGAGCCATCTACTCAGTCGAATATGCATGCAGGTTTGTCATGATGATGGATAGACCTGTATGCCTCTTACTGGCTCCCCACCATGCTTCTTAACCCCTCTACTGATCTTTTGTTGTTCTTTCTACAGTGCCGTAAGAAGCATGGCCAACAGCAGCGTGTATTTCAAAAACATTGACAGTCTCCTGCGACAAGCCATCAGCATGAAGGAGCAAATCAGCAGCTCTCAAGGACGCAGGTAAGAAAACAATGATGCATGGTGATATATCTGTAACCATTATGTCTTTTTGAAGTTATCACCCAATCATTTACTTTTTTTTTTTTTTTGGTATGGCATTTTCCTGAGTTTTTTTTTGTTTGTGTCCCCCCTGCCCCCCACCTGCATGAACTTTGCATGATGCCAACCGTTCTCCCAGTCCCCTTGTTGCTGCTTCACATGCCCCATCCACTTCGTCCTCCTCATGACAGAGCTATGTCCAAGGTAAGTACCTAATGGCACACAAGTACAACTGAGAAGCGATGATTTTGGAGGGGCAAGAATTTCGTCCGACGCAGCAATACAATGAAATTATGACGATCTCATCATAATGTACTGACAAATACACGATTTCTGTGTAAAATTTGGTCTTGTTTATTTGATGACAAAGATATTTTTCTATTGTGTGAAAGGCAACGGATATACACAGGTTAATTGTCTCATCTGCCATTTAGAGGAAGAGCAGTTATTTATTCTGTCTCTCACGATACGTTGCTGTCATAGACGCACAAACAAAAACATATTTGCAGTAAATAAATAATTTTCAGGCAAATTAAGTGAAATTGAATAATTTCTCATCGCACACGAGGTGGGCGATCATTGTATTGTTGTATAAAATAATTTACACAGTAGATTATCACAATTGGATGAATTGATTAATCAATTTAAAACAATTTATAGAGTCGTCAGGGTGGATTTTTTTTGCTCAGTTTCCAGATGGTCTGGAATCATTGAAGCTATTACATGCCAGTAGTATATCCATGCTGACTTATTGAAATCCTCGTCTTCATCAGCCTTTTGTCACACAAGGGTCGAGTCTTTTGCCGAAATGCCGGACTTGCGCGCCAGGACGCTCCTCATCTCGTTGTTGACGCCATTCCAGGGTTTAGCCTTTAGCAAAACCGAGTCTGAAGATAAGCTCCTGTGTGAACGAGGACAGCTGCCGCCTCCGCTGTAGCTGTCCACATTGCCAGAGTGGCCGCGCGACTCTTCTCCAACAGGGGGGTACTCCTCCTGCGGGTGGTGCCGCTGCTGGTGTCTGGGGCTGCTGGAAGGGGTGAACGACATGTGATGCTGGAGGTGGGACGGTCTGCGGGGCACCCGCAGTTTGTCCACACCAATTTTTAGCTCACAGGGCCAAGACACGGGACTGTTGTTGCTGCTTCTGTGCTCGTTGCGAAAGAGAGTTTCGAGATGGTCTTCTCGGCCGCGTTTAGCCACTTGGGAAACCTTGACAAGAGAATGGATCACCACTACCAGAAGGATCAAGATGCCGGAGGCCAGGACGGAGGCGCTGGCAATTCCCGTCTCCGCCTCAAATATGAGCAGCATAAAAATAGACATAGCTGAAAGACATGAGGGTAGTTACTTAAACGACTTTGTGATTAATCGTGCAAAAACATGAGTAATTGTTTCCTATATTAGTAGTTTAAACCGCAAATATAATCCAAACTAAGATCCCAAAACGGTTACCCATTACTGTTAAATGAATTGTTTTACGTGATGCTAAATGTTCATATCCATTTTGGACAGTTGGACCTGAAACAAAAGGGTGAAATTGAAGTGCCTTACACTTTTTTTTTGGTCTTATTTTATCTGCAGAAAAAGGACGGTGGATCATGTTATGCCAAGGGATGCCGGAGAGAAGCGCAGCTCTGGAATGTGATAACCCTTCCCTGCATTTAGTCATTTTGTGGTGCTTGATTGAAGTGCGTGGGAAAGGTCCTAATCCCCTTCACCCTCTAGCCCTGCCCCTCCAAGCACAAGCTGCTCAGTGGAACAGAGTAGACCAGCGCTGCCAGGTTCGGCTTAAAAAAAAAAAAAAACCACTTAAGTCATGGACACCGCTCAAAGAGTGCATTGTTCTCTTGAGCTCGTGGGACAAGAACAACAGTGCTCTTTGCTCGCTCTGCTGTTGACTTCCCTGCCGACATTTTGCACATTAGTTGGAAAGGACATCCCCTGCTCTTGTTGTTGTTTTTCGATCCCAGTTTGGTGCACACTTCAGTGCGACACAATATTGTGATGTACTATTACCGCTTGCTGTATGGTATCAAAACATCAGCATCAAATATCAATTGCAACAATGTGTCATTCGCACTACGGTACAGTGTTAGTACACCGTCGAAATGTATCAATGCTCGGGTCAAATGATTTTTAAAAATCTAAAAAAAAAATAAAAGTAAATCAATTAATAGTGCGTGCGCTTTAATACTTGCTTATTTTTTTTCAAGGTCCTCTTCTCATGTTGTTTTTGTCAAACAAGCAAATTAATCTGTATTACACCTATACATAAATGTTTTGGTATCAGTATGTTAGGCTTACGCTAAAATAAAAGCAAATTGACCAGGAATTAATATGAAAGACTGTTTATTTACCCACTTGAATTCGTTGTTAATTTACTCAACATTTTGACTTGCTCCCTTTTCAGCATTCACTCTGACAACTTCACAAAATTCTAATTTCGGGTGCGGTCCGGAGCCCTGTTTGATGTACAGGTAGTCTGCCATTATTGCTTGCATTACACTTATAATGCATCAAATAGCAATATTGTGGCGTTTCGCTATCACTACACAAGCAAGCATAAAATACCAATTTTGCGCAGTCTTGACACTTCAAATATTCATTTCGAATTAGGAAGCTGCCTTCCTTCTAGTCAATATTTTTTTCTGATTTATCGTTTATTGCACAAGACGTGGTATCGTAATACTGGGATACTCTCTGCAAAATATGGTGACTGTAAATGTGTGAGATTCCTACCCTTTGTTTATACCTGCTAAATAGACCGAAACTCCAAGGCAGAACAATCCGATGGCCACATGTCGCACGGCTCGGCTGTCCAATAGGAACCAGTCTGCTCTGTGGAGACAATACTGTACATTCACTTTTTTTTTTTTTTTGTGCATACAAACTAGCTTCTACATTGCACGTGTGCAGTATGTGTCAACAAATGTAGAAGCTCATTACTATTCAGACTGTTTCACACGTTCCAGAGGAAGGGGGCACTCTGGGTTTGTAAGTCTACGTGGGAAAGGGCGAGCAAGAGGCCGTGCTCTGACTGTAGAATGAAAAGGTGACTGTTTTAACGGGCTTATTGGAATTGAGAGGCAGGAACAAAGCGGGCTCGGCCTTGTAGGATAGTGTGAACCTCCATTCACAGCTTTAAATTTTGCTCAATTATAATTTATGAACGTTGGCCTTGATTAAAATGCAATGCTGTCCTTGAGTAGGATCAAAACAGTTTTATTAATTGTACAGACAGATTTTACTCTGATAAATGCAATCAGACCTCAATTTTAATTGAAGATACGTGCTTTAGATTTATGACACACATACTGTATGTTATTTACGAGCTCCTTAATTCACACACTGATGAGTCTTAATGCGGGTGAAATGGTAAATTAAATGTTGATTAAGTGTGGAGATTATTCATTGGCTAGAAAATCTCAAGGATTGTAAAGTCAATATTTAGGTCAGGAAATGATAAGTTTTTTCTCCAATACACACTTTTCGCTCGATGGTGATGTCAAATTCTTTACAGGACCCCAAACACGAAACGCGCGTATGAATACAGTATATTAATTGACCATTATGCGGTCGCAGGTGTGGTACACCCTCAAACGTGACGCGGCTTGATAAACCTGACTGGAACTACTTTTTTTTTTGTTTTGTTAATTTAAACAGTGGAAACGTCCAATATTGCGAGAGGTAGTCTTTATTTCACCGGTGATTTTATACAACTATTACCTTTCGGTGTCCAGTTCTCCTCGACACACCTCGGTGGAAAAGTAGCCATGTAGGAGACAGACCACCACCGAGCTCAGGTTAAGGGTGAGCGACAAAGCCGAGAGCGCCGTGGACACCGGCAACAGGAAGGCCCGAACGTTAGGGGGTACGACCGAGGGAGCGTTTTCCTTTATGGCCGTGTGTTGGGGCTGCAGCTGGAAGATCAGAATGACCGACAAAACCGACATAATGGCCGATAGAATCCCCAGTAGAGACAGGACAACCACGGACCGCTGACTGTAAAAGTGTGTCATCTTTTTATCGAATTAAAAAGGTAAAAAGTTGTCTTCGGTTGAAGTAGTCCATTAAAAAAAAGTGCGCCTAAATGAGAAGTGTGCTGTTTCCGAGTGTGCGTGAACGTCCCTCCTCCTTCTCAATATGCCGTCTGCCCATGTGATGTGCGTCCAATCCTCAGATTACTAATTACCCAGTACAATGGATTTTTACACAGTTATTTAATGCCTGTTTACCTTCTCCCAATCTACATGTAGAAAATGGCAAATGTTGTATGTGTATTCAAAACACATATCCATTGTTGCTGGATATGTGTATTCAAAGGTTTAGTAAACGTCAAATTAAAATGTCCAGGGCTAGTTGCAACAGAGAGACTGGTAGAGGCACACAAAGGCACAGAAGTTGACATCCTTGCAAAGGTATTGGTTGATTCATGAATCACGTCAAAGCCAAAAGGTAAGCAGAGCTGCAGAGTTGGCACATCTTAGAAAAAAAAAAAACTAAGCAGGCTTTTTGAGTGCTGTGGCTTGAGCGCATGCTGTAGCTTGCCAAAAGCAGAAGTGAGAAGTTTCAGGAAAGTGGCAGGAAGACCTCGCGAGCACCTTTTGAACTCTTTAAATGGCTCTGGCATCAAGTAGAAGTAGACAGAAAACAAGATATTTATTTGGTTTTGATAACACCGCCACATAGATGCTCTTCGTTCTCCCTTTTATGGCATTTTGTTTAGCATTAAGATAGCAGACAAAATAAGTTTTGTTGTTGTTTTAAATCACAAGTTAAGTGCAGTCTGTACAAGTGAAATTCTTTTGTGTTGTTTAGTTTGTCAGTAAGTTTCAATGTGAAGACTTTTTTTTTTTTTTGCTACAAGGCTCAAAATAACTTTTTCAAAGCAGTTTTGCAAATCAGTGACTTCATCCGAGGGGCAACTTTCTATTTTGTGGAGCAACTTTTTGCAAATTAATCACACTGATGTGAAGCGAGAATTTTTGTTAAAAGGACTGAAAAATCGCTGCAAAAACTTTTCTGTTTAATATTTATATAGTTCTGAATAGATGGCATGGTCTTTTAGGTGTAAGGTGACGCGGGGTGTATTTCCTGTCCTTACCTTACCTTACAATGTTTAGAGTGAAGCACGAATGAGACACGCAGAAACCTCCGTGAGTCACAACAACGTCCCCTAGCTTGCTGGGAGTCAAGTGCGCAAACCCCTGGATATTGTTTGTTGCTAACTATTGCATCAGCATAGATTTTTTTTGTTGTTGTTGAGATGCGATGAGGATGATGTTTTGTGAGTCAGCTCCCGACATAAGCATGCGTGTCATCTGACTGCGTACATTTCTTATTTTTAGTGTGTTGCATTGTCACGTTCTCAAAATAACAGTCAATCATCTGGCTGGCAGTGACATATGTATCCTATTGACTTTTCATTTGGCTCTTTAGTTGTCTATTTTCTCTGTGAAGGCTGTCACTGACAATGGGTCAAATTGAACCGGAATACATGGCAGACCTCAAAATGTAATTAATAATGTAGCAGTTTGATGGCGACATCCTGCTTTCGTACCACTTGAGAAGTTCTGGTTTACTACGGATGTGTGGTCTTTTTTTTTTTTTTTTCCATTATGTCGGCCTATGATATGCAGTTTTTCAGATGTAAAAGGGAAGTCAACCCCCTAAATTTTTAAAGCAAGAATACACTGAATATGTCAGCACTAGCCAAAACAGGGTACTCCGATTTATATCGTTTATGGAATAAGAATTAAACACAATAATTCAAGTGAAGTGACAGAAGCTACAGTAGATACAGTGGGCCATTGACCTATGCTGGCTGACAGATTGCAGAGGACGATGGATTTAACGAATGGATCTGTACTGCTGAAATAGAAAATATACACCGGTCATGAAATGGGAAGTGTAGGAAAGTGATAAGAAAGCAGTGGACATCAAGTGCCTCTGCGCTATATTGTCTGTCTACAAGTGTTGCTCTATCGTTTGTGTCCGTATATCCAGTGCTGAAAGGCTGCAAACATTGATGCTGGTTTCGTTTGTCGGTCTATGGGTGTTTTTCATTCGTAAGTGAGCAGACTATCGTTAATTGTGTTTTGATCAAATACACAATGTTTAATCCCCTTTGTTTTGCTGGCTGTGGAAATAAACAGCTTGACGTCGGCACTTGGCTCTTGTTTGAAAAATTGCCACTAGTTAGCGCTCCAAACTCAAATCTTTGCTAGTAACCTAAGACAAAAATTTGTGCGAGCAGCGGCTTCGATCTCAAAACTCAAATTTGGGCCACTTAGCCTATTTAAATGAAACATTGGGTTAATTCTTAATTTCTTCAATTTTTTTCAAATAAACAATTTTAATACGCATTTGACTTATACAATGACCTTGTCCTTATGTCAGTTTAAAAAAAAAAATCAAATGTGGCCCTTGCGCACAAAACTTTCCCCACTTCAGATCTAAATTGCATTTAAAAAAAAAAAAGTTTTCCACCAAGAAGCACGTTATTAACTGTAACTTGTCTTCAATGTGTTCCTACTAGGTGGTCCATTGATGCAAAAATGACGAAAAGGAAGTCTGTGTTGGATTTGCTTGCATGCATGGTGACAGAAGGAGGAGGAGGAGGAGGGTGGATACAGTCAGCCAGCTGTGTGAGGGCAGTGCTCTTGTTCTACATCAGGTTGACACACTCGCACAACCACACACACTTCCTCCTCTGGACCGGACCTCTCCTGTGCGTTCATTGATGTGCAAGCGCCTTCGAGTGTGAACGGAGAGAGGTGAGATTTCAGCATATTTCATTTGTGTGACCAAATAACTAGTTGCTGTGCAAGAAGCCGAGTCTTTATTAATAAAAAGAGATGCTCAGCAACTCCGGGCTATTCTTAAACCGACGTCAGCGGGGTCAACAGGTTAATTTGTGCGCGGAAATCTTTTTTTAAAACTTATTTGGAAGCGCGGCGCCCACTTTTTGTTGTGCAAATTGCATCCTCGTCCAGATGGATTCATATGGAGGCAGATTCGGTTCTGTTGCCATGCTGACACGATCAAAAATATCAGGGCAATTCAATTAACTCCTGTTAAAATTAGACAAATATTTCCTGCACATTATTGCACTTGGCGAAGGCCCGTTGTTGAACCGCTTGACCCCACTCGCATGTGCAATGATGAAGTAATCCAGCAAATGTTTCTATCTTTACAGCCGCCCTAATAATGCTCAGTCTGAGAGGGGATTCATTTTTATTTTATTATTCTGCTTGTCCTGTGCACTGAGACTGCAACCACAATCACAAATAAGAGCCTTTCCGGTCATTTCCACGTTAGTCAAGAGCCATTATGCTCTTTACGTTCGTATCTGCATGACACCTTTAATTTGGGTGCGACTGATATTTAATTAATTGTATGGCTCATATTGTTTGGATCAGCCAGACCCTTTGTGCTAGGTTGCAGGAAGTTCAATTTTCAGTCCTGTGGTGATCATTCCACTTTTTTTCTTTTGCCATTCTGCTACTTTGTCCTGGTAACATCACAAAAAAAAAAAAAAAGCCAAATTCATTTCATAAAGTCACTTGTGGAGTTATTGTTGTAGACCACTGGTGATTCTTAAAATCCAGTGCCGCTCCTGGTACAAAAAAAAAAGGAATTGCTGCATAAGAGGAATTCGATTATATTTAACATTTAAGTGGACCGCATTTAATCTTTGATAGCAGTTTGATTTTCGATTTTTGTTTCCGTACAAAACATCAAAATAATTTTTTTAAATGTATTGGTTTTCTTCTCTCTATTGATGCGCTACGATGTTGATCATACTGTGCATCTTAATGTGACTGTAGCTTACAATAATATGATATGATATATATATTTTTTTTTAGGAATATAACCTTTTTTGTACTGCATTTCATTACTTGCTGTGATAGCAGTACTTGGAGAACAATGTATTTTTTTAGGTGACACCGGGTGTAAATAATTTTTGGGGGGGACGCTCCAGTTAAGTATCACTGAAATTGTTGGCGTCACACATGATGAGGACATCAACTCCAAACTGAACTTTGACTTTTAATGCACATTTTATCAGGACAAATCAAACTATTCCTTTTTTGGGGGGGGTTGTTTTTATATGGGCTACATTATTACATGTCACAATCACGCCAATGAAATGACTCCCAATTAACATCTGCCCTGACCATCGATCAGACTTGATATGAATATGGTTATCTCAGCACTTTATAAGGTAATACGCCGGGCATTTCCTCACTAAATGCCCAAGATGCCTGTGTACGCAGCACACGTCAGGGGTCATGGGAAACGCTGCCGCCATATCCGCCAAGGCATGATCAGTAGTAGGGGACAAGTCTCCAAAAATACATGTGCATTATTGAAAGGGGGGGGGGAAACCAGTGGAAACTCCTCCGGACGAGACAGACAGGTCAAGGGTTCAGACGTGCGGTACTCGACAGACTGCAGACGTCTGCACAGTTCAGAGGTTCTCGGTTCCAAACTTGGCGCTGGCCTTCCGGTGTGGAGTTTGCGCGATCTCCCCGTATTTGTGTGGATTTTCTCCAGGTACGCGGGATTCTTGTCACATTCCAAAAAGGATGCCTTCGCACCATTTGAAGACTAAATCGTCCGGAGGTGTGAATGAGAGTGTGGACGCTTGGTTGTTTTGATGTGCCCTGTGATTTATGCCCAAAGTAACCTAAGATAGGCTCCAGTTGTAACTTTCATGAGAACATAAGTGAATGGATGGATGGATGGATGGATGGACAGCCATTTTACTTTTTGAAAGGATAAAATGAAATAGAGCCTTTTAAAACAAATCTCGGAATAGGTTTTTGACTTGATTTCTGTTGTAAAAAGGAACAATGGGGAATCAGTTCTTCACATGTCATTTCAGACATTATTGTTAAGAGGATGGGAGAATCTGAATGTTCTGCACTCCTATTTCCATTGCATTGTCCTCATGTGCTGACTAATGCTGCCTCAAGGTGTTACAGTACAGTATAACAGTTATTTGTGGATGTGGGTTAATTTACCACAACTAGCAAACTAGCTGATTAATTTAATCAATTAATCGACAATCAATTCTACTATTAAGACCTGCCTGATTATGGATTTTTTGTTTTTCGGCCAATTCCGATATTTGGCAGATTACAATTCCGACAACTGATTAAACGACTGATTAATTAACCAAAATATATAGAATGAATAAAATAACTTATTTTTCGTTTTTGGGGCGGAGGGTTCATTTAACACTTAGAACAATAAAGATATGACTCACAGGCGGAACTTTTGACTTTTATACAATACTTTTTCCTTTACAAACTTAACTTTTTAGAACAGAGAGAAACATGAGCAAAAAATTTGCTTGTTTGTTTTTTTTTTTATTATTTGTTTACGGTTTCAGTGTCACTATGATGTACAGTAAAGCATTTTTTTAAAAAAGGTTGGCAAAAGTCTGCAAACAAATCGGCCGATTTTGAAATGGCTTATAACAGCCGATTAAATCGGATGGCCAATTTCTCTGTCGGGCCCCAACATTTTATGGACAGAATTCTTCAAATAGACTTCTGTACTATCACGGTTTACTTGAATGCATTTCTACATGTTTTATCATGTATCCATCTCTTATGGGAAACAGCATTAATTCATTGCAAGTGTCTCAAGTCCCCGTGGTAAGAGCCTGGTGTATTTTTACCCCCATGAGGCGATGCAAGCTAAAGTTAGCGTGGCCCCTGAAGTCCACACAGTCTAACACCCACACTGTCTGGCTTACCGGGCCGGGTCGGGCTGGCAGCAGTGCACGACCGCGTTGCTCTTCCCCAAGAGACCTGGTTAAAAATACTGCATAGAACGGATTTTTTTTTTTTTTTTTAAATAAAGGTTGTTTGGCCAATAGTGAGACGCTCGCAGTTGAAGGAAAACAGTATGTTTGGGAGGCAAGTTGTGAACCTATACGAGCCGCCCACTCTTCTCTCATGCGTGGTCTTGAGAAGCCCTGATGAGAACTGAAGAGGGTCAGCATACGTGAGGACATGGGTGGATTGCGGTGCGCGCGATGACGTCCATTCGTCCAAGTCACGGACATTTTTTATTTTTTTTGGTCCCCCGAAAAAAGCCTCAGCAGAGGCAGTCGGCTTGAAACCATGCAGTCATTTGTACGACAGAAATGTTCAGTGGTGTGTTATGTTGAAGTTTGGGCAATATGGCCTTACATATCTGATTTTTACTTTTCATAGATTCACCCACCCCTTCGGTTATAGGAAAAAAAAAACAGAACATTTTGCTCAATGTTTAGTTTCTTCTGGGAAGTGTTTTTTCCCCCTCCTGATACTAAACAAGCTTTGAAACAGGTCACACTTATCACTTACTCTATCAAAGTTGCAGGCAAAAGATGGAGGCCGTTACTTGACATTGTAACTAACAAACAGTCCAAGTAAAGTTATGACCAATAAATCTATGGCGACTATTTGAATCTACACCTGAAACTTTTTTTTAAAAATACACTTCGCTTGTGCTCTGCTTTTTCTCTCACATGCTAACCTGTTTTCACATCGGTTTTCTCACCAGAAGAAAGATGGGAAGAAAGAAAATCCAGATTTCTCGCATTGTGGACCAGAGAAACCGACAGGTGAGCCGAACACAAATGATTTATTTTTATTTTTACTTTGACTTATTCCCAAACCCAGAGGAAATCTGTCAATTTCACTGAATTGCTCTCGAAATTATTTATTTGAAACAAAAAATGGATCAATTTGTCTGTGCCAATGATGTAGAGTGAGAGGCAGAATAATTACATGCTCTTCCACTAAATGGCAGAAGTTACATTTAACATTTTTGTCTGGTGATGGTGTGCTGTGCTATTTTTTTTTTTTTTTCCACTGGATTGTAGGTGACGTTCACCAAGCGCAAATTCGGCTTGATGAAGAAGGCGTACGAGCTGAGCGTGCTATGCGACTGCGAGATCGCCCTCATCATCTTCAACAGCACCAACCGACTTTTTCAGTATGCCAGCACCGACATGGACAAGGTTCTGCTCAAGTACACGGAGTACAGCGAGCCACACGAGAGTCGCACCAACACTGACATACTGGAGGTTGAGAGATTTCACCAACTTTCGTTTGAATTTTTGCGGCTTTAGGGGGGTTTGTCCACTCTTGGTTCTTATTTTGTGTTTGCTGTCAGACTCTGAGGAGGAAAGGCCTCGATCTGGACACTTCGGAGCTTGACGGCGAGGAGAGCATGCAGGTGACGGGCCATAAATGTCAATATGGCAGCGGGGTGGATGTGTCTGCGGGTTGCCAGCGGCTCTATGTCAGTACACACCCACACACAACTCACGCACGCATACAGTCGATGCTGGAAAGGAACAAAGTACAAATACTTAAGTAGATTTTTCAGGTATCGCTACTTAGAAGTAATTTTTTTTTTAACTTCTACAGCCTTCATTTGAGAGTGACATCTGAACTTTCTATTCATAGCTTTGTCATAAAATAAATGGCAACCTCCAGATTACAAAAGAGTTAAAAAAAAACATTTGTGGATCATTACTTATTGGCTGGAAGACCCACCTGTTTGCGTTTTTGTGCTCTTCCTGTGACACTCTAAGATGCCTTAACCCTGTCTAAACGAAAAGTAGTAGTTGGGGTCAAGGAAGTATGTTGAAGTGATGCATTTGGACTGAGAAGCTTCGATCTCTGTATTTTGGGGAGGAGCTAATTTTAGCCTGAGTTGTTGGTTGAAGTTCCAGTCTTGGCCGTGTGTGAACATTTATGAATGCTTCGGATTCATTTTTTCAAACTCAAATTATCTGTAAGCTATTCATTTTAAATTTTGTAAGCCAAATTTGAAATCATGTTACTTTTTTGGGGGAGCGTTGTTTATATTTACTTTTTGAAATATTGTGATTACCATTAAATATTTTGGGACAAGGTGTTCATTAGTTGTGCGTTTTTTTTTTTTGCTATTCATAAGAAGGCTCAGTTCTTCCCCCAAAATAGCGGCAATAAACTGTGTCTAATGACGTGACTTGTGAGTGTACATGATCATCACATCACTCTCCAGGCTCCATCCCTGCGCTCCACGGAAGCGTCGTTCCCAGCGTCAGAGAACAACTTCCCCGTCTCCTCCGGACCCGGCACGGCCCCCCACAGACTACCGGCATTTAAATGCGCCAGCCCGGTTCCTGCAATGGCTCACGGCTCCTTCATGCCGCCGCACTCAGGTATAGAAGAAACGTCCACACGCATCAAGACTTTCATTCGTCTGCTGTCTGAGTGGCGATCTATCCTCACACAAGTTGTTCCCACAGTCTTGAAACTGTGTGCAGCTGTCCGTCACCTCAAAGGAAGTGAGTCTCGCAAGTGCATTGGGTGTATCTTATGAAACTTGATTTTTTTTTTTCACCACTGTGGCCACCTTTGGTTTCTGTCTGCAGTTGTTGTCACACCTGTTTTTGTGATGATGTCATTAAAAGTGACTCCACTGTGACACTTTAAGCAGTTTACAGTACATATATAAAAAGCAAGTGATAATGAATTCATTAAAACTGGTTTTTTTTTGTTTGTTTGTTTGTTTTTTTGCCTAAATAAATTTTATTTTTTCCCAATACCAAACAAGCTATGAAACCAGTTTTTTTTTTCCTCAGACATTTTTTCCCCTAGCAATTTTTTGTGACAATAAGATCTGCAACCGACTCTTTGCACAATTCTCCGTGAATTTGTTGTAAAATCGGCAAAGAAAACACCGATGGCAATCCTGACTGTACTCTTCACTACACATCCATCATCTGGCCCCATAATATGATGCAGATATTTGTTGTAATACCAAATGCATGCCGCTCCATTTGGCACCATCGTTTTCTTTGATTATAATCCGAAAAAGTCCAAATGGGAAATCTCCATCCAATTTTGATTAACTGCCCAGCGCTCAAAGAAAGTTAGTCAGCTAAGTCAAATTTCAGCCTCAACTGTTGTGTTTCGTTCCATCCCGTCTGCAAAAGATGCAAGAGAAAGAAGAAGTGTGAAGGTATCGCAGTTGCTCGCATCATCTTTTTCACTTCCCTCCGCAGGTATCGGCTACTCCGTCTTCTCCCACATGAGCCGAGGGCTCCACCCGAAGACACCTCCTCCTCCTCCGTCCCCTCTGACCCTCCCAGTAGACGGGGCCCATCAGGGCTCACGCACCGGGCCGAACGCCGCCATGAGCCGCGGGCTCCTGTACCAGACGGGCCTGCACGGCACCATGGGCAAAGCTGGCCTGCTGGGCCACACTCTGGCTGATTACGGCCTCGCCTCTCCTGGAGCTTCGGGTAGCTTACACTTTATTTCTTCCTCTTATCATTTCATCATGTATGACTTTCGGATTTGTCTATTTTTCTTTCAGAGTACAGCCAACCAAGTTTCTATCACTCTGTGAGTCTGCAGCGAGGAGCAGTGAACTCCTGGCAAACAACGCAGCCTTCACACCATCTCCATGGGCCTCATGTAAATCAAGGGTAAGGATGCATTCGAGTGGAGGTACGCTCACCGGCCACACTAACCTGATAACTCCTTTTGTTGTTCCCAGGATTTCCACCGGTGTCTGCTCGTTCTCCCCCACCTTGACGCATCCTCCCTGCCTCGGCATCCACATCAAATCTGAGCGCAGCTCTCCTGAGCAGCACGTGGTCTCTCCCGCCGCCTCCCCTCTACACGGCCTCAGGCAAGAGCAGTCGCCCATGAGCAGGCCCAGCTCGGACCTCCACAGCCCCCCGGTACCGGAGCCCGAGACGTACTTGCCCGATGGAGGAATGCTGAGACAGTCGCACGTGCGTGAGGGATGGCAGAGATAGCTGTGCATTTAATGGACATTTTATTCGGTACATATGCACAAGCTGATGAAACCCAGCGCGAGAACTTGACCAAAAATTAAATCAGCTATTATTTAAAGCACGTGGTTGCTTTTAACACACCAAGTTTTGATGGTCACTGTAAATTAATGTCATTAGCACATTTGTAAAAACTCAATACATTTGATAGCTCTTGTGTTGGGTGCCATCGGATTGCCTATGTGGACCTAATTAACTGTCCAGTCTTCTCAGTCAGAGCTGGTCTCTGCTCGGTGTTGTCTATCGGTGTTGTTTTCAGCCCCTCACACGTCACTTGATTGTTCGCATTAAAAAGACGCACACACGTTTGGTGGTTTGATTTGTTTGGCACGATCATAAAATGAAAATGTTCATGTAAATCCCATGAATAAAAACCAATTTCAAAGTCTGTCCAGTTCCATTATAACAAGGGTAACCACCATAAAAAATGACAAATGACACAAGAATGTTGTTCTCCAGATGTATTTGGTAAAAAAGAGAACGGAATGGACAACATTGCATCAGGTAACTAAATGTAGAACATATTAGAATGCAAAACAAATGGTTAAAGTATATTTTTAATGAGGGATGGACATTAGAAAGCAATACCTAAACACATGCACACGAGTCATTCAACATATACAACATGATCGAAACAACCCAGTCCGGTCTAGAACTTCTTCCCTTTACGCAATTTGTTGTGACGCCAAATGTTTTCCTTTCGAAGACGCTTCCAGTAATCCCAGTTGTCCTCCTCCAGCTCGTGAAGCATGTACGGTGCCTCCAGGTTTAACTGAAAGAGCCTAAAATAGTAAAATACCCATTTTAAATGGATGGAAGAAAGCTGTTATTAAACTGGGGTGTGTATGGAGGAAAAAAAAAACATAACTTCTGACATGTCATGTTGTTTATTGTAGAGGAATGGAGTATACAAGGTCTACAAATTGAGCTGCCTCATTAATTTAACAAAGCCACATGCTGCATCACCAAGGCTGAGGTTTTTTTTTTTTTTTATGTGGCCAAGCGCATTTGACAAAATGATTTTCATTGAATTTCGCCATGCGCCAGTGTAATTACATTTAATGACACAAAAACCTAACAACGTCTGTCCTTTATTTGCAGTTATATTGATGCCATTTGCCAAATACGGCAATAATACAAATGTATCTCAAAATGGAAGGAAGAAATGTTCTCACCACTCTGGATATTCCTCAACGGGTTTAAGTTTGGGGTCTTCTCCCTCTTTGTAGATGTTGACCCCGACTGCATAAGAAGTCAGTCTTGCTGGATCTTTGCACACCTCTGGTCCTTTCAGCTCCTCTTTAACCATCCCCTTGGCTTTGCCTTTAGCGGCTGGAGGAGCGAGCAAAATGTAATTGTTATTAAAAACAGGTCGCCCTTGTGAAGGTAAGGAAATTAACATTAACTGGAAAACGACTTTACTCACCCACTTTTTTCGCATACCCACACGCCGGTAACTTGTTTAACGCGTTAGTCCTGCGTGTGGTGAGTAGTGGTGCATTGTTTGCGATGTGTCTAGTTAGCAGTGAAACGCTAAATAATGCGGAACTGGTCATTTTTACAGTGTGTGACTTACTAAGGACGACATTAGCGTACCATGCTGTAACTTGACATTCACTCTTCTACTTCCGGCCACTCTGTTGTGACACTGCTTGGAAAATCTGCACTGCCCTTCTGTGGACGAAAACCTGCACTACATGCTATTTTGCCACCCTGGGTCTGAAATCCATCTCCTCCGCATCCATATCGATCTAAGATATTATTAAATTTAAAAGAAGTATGTCCGAGCCTTTTAAATGCGAAGTTAGCTTCGCCACTGTAGTTTTGACGTTTGATATTCTTCTCCTGGGCTTTCGTTCCTTTTAGACGGAAATACAAACGCCATACTATTTTACCAAGACAGTATTTTATTCCTGGGGCGGCACGGTGACAAACTGGTTAGCACGTCCGCCTCACAGTGTATGATGGCGCTACGCAGCTCTAATGCTTCTTTGACAATCTTTCGTTGATACCAAAGAAGAAGAAGCACTGCCCAGCTTTCAGGAAAACATGTCGGAATATCAACATGTCCAGAAAAGTGCCCTGAAAATTAAGGGCGTGGGAAGCATTTCTTCTGGGAAAAAGTGAGTAAAACGCACAGATTAGTTAGTTAATGGCCATTTTAACGTTTGTCTGGCAGAGGTGGTCTATTTATTAGCTTTCAATTCACGTCGCTCGAACGTTACCCTTCGTGCTAACAATTGCGTTAGCTCAGTTATTTTGGTGAATCGTTCACTATGAAGTCTAGAGTCAACAAACAGAAACATTAAGTTAAACCCACCCACACCCACCACTTAACCTTAGATACGATTGAATAAAAACTAATAATAATACAACAACAACCTAGACACCTTCAAGATTCTCTTGGCTACACAATAACGCCAGGTTGAACACTTTGTTTTTCACAACACTGCCTATTACTGAGATTGTATGTCATGTCGGTAGTGTGGAACAGGACTGCTTCCTACTGAGAGCTTACAGAGACATATTGAGGATACTGACATCACATTACGTCTCGTATTTTACACATAAAAATAGCCTTTTTTGTTTTTCCAATTCATGCACAATATGTATTTAAATTTGTAACAAAATGTTGGAGAGAAAGTTTATATTGTAGACATCCAGTGGGAAAGTATTTCCCACAACGCACGAGCGTTTACTGTAATGCAGCTATTATAAATCCCATATCCGTCAAAACCGAATGTTGATGACTTTGTTCCAGGAAGAAGAAGAAGGACAAGGAGAGCAAGCATCGCATGGAGCAGGTGGCGACCAATCAAAACGATGAGGAGTTGAAAGCCAAACGGGCATACATGGACAAAAGGACGCCTGCGCAAATAGCCTTTGACAAAATGCAGGAAAAGAGGGTATGTATATTTTGGGGTACTGTGGGAGATATTTTCCTGATTAGGTGAGGTAACAAGAAAAAAAAATGTTTGAATCTCAGTATGTAATATTGTGATTTTTTCAAAGTATTTCTTTTCTTCAAGTTAATGTGTGATCCAAGAGTGAGGTAGATAAGATAAGATAAGATAAGAAAACCTTTATTAGTCTCGCAATGGAGAAATTCCCAATTCACAGCAGCAAAGTTATGAATGGAAGAGTTGTATGTTGTATTTTTATAGCACCCACCATTGCTGAATTTTACACAAACATCAAACTGCTCTTCTGATGGTTTTCCTTCACTTCTACCTTGTAAAATCACAACTTTATTGTCAACGGATTATGCCATTTTTCTTTCAAAAAATACAAATTTGTTCTGGTGGCATAATATATATATATATATATA